TTAGCATTTGTAATGATGAAAATAAACTTGCCCTATTAGATCAAAAAGTTGAAACTTGAACTCCATTTTTGCATAGAAACGGATACTCAAAATATTGAATATTTCTAATATGGAGAGTTTCTTGTACTTTCTGGAAGTCTGAATGGGTGTAAAATAGGCCAGAAAGATTTCTTTTTTTTTAGTCGAAGTATTTTAAAGCTTAATAAAGAAGCAACAGTGAAAAACCTTTCACTTCACTTTAGAAGCTATAAGGAAATGTTCAGTGCAGTGAATATAAAAGCTCTTTGAGACATGGAGGAAATGGGAAACTGTGTGCAGTTGCTTCTGCTGCCACACCTTACACAGGGGAACTGGAGGAAGCCGCTTGTACTCGAAATAATCCTGACTTTGATTGGATGACAGGAGCTGGTGAAATGAGCTGTGCTTTACAGAAGTTGTATCAAAGGCTCAGGTTGAGTTACTCAATGTTGGTGATGTTTATCTTGCAACCATATAAGTCAAGAATCCCAGTCATGAGTCAGAGTCCCATTGGGAGAGGAATGGTACAGCTAAAGAGCAGAAAGGTGTGGAATTTTTTTTGGCTGAGGATCTAGAAATAAATTTGATTGCATAGCGACAATTTTAAGATTTGTCTGTAAAACTTCTCTTGTAAGGTGATGCTAGAAGTCTGGAGTGGTGTTGGTTCTGAAAATGAAAAGCAAGCAGGAAGTCTGTGCACTGCGCAAAACATTTCGCTGTCATGTTAGGGCAGAGGGAAGTGTGAACATTTCACTTCTTACAAAATGCTAACTTTGTTGTGCATTTGTAATTATTGTCCTGCTGTGTTGCAAGATTAAAATGCAGCTGTTCTCAATAACGTGCATTTATATTGTTAAGTGTATTTTGCTGTGATATCATGATTAAAGAACGTGGTTCAATGATGTTTTACAATACCATCTTCTGCAGGAGGGAGATCCTTGCTTTTATGTGCCCTGCTGATGGGTTTGGTACCTCCATGGAAATCCTACGGAAGGCCACTAAGAACAGCAACTGTAGCTTTCTTGCTCCTTTGCTTTTAAGGAAAGGAATTGTCAGGTGGTTGTTGTGGGTTTGGTTTTTTGGATGAGGAGGAGGAGTGAAGATAGCAATTCAATTTGCTTGTGAACAAATAGATTTTAGGAATAATGAGAAAGCCTTCTGGAAATAAATATTTTTGTTGTCTGTGTAGATAGCATGTTTAGGTAATTTTAAGAAAAAGCAAACCTAAAACCACTGCTATGGAGGACATTTTAGTAAAGTTTTAAGTACATTAATCCCTCTTCTCTTCTATCTCTTCCTTTAATTCCATATATGTAACAAGCGTAGGATTGCTAAGTATGTATTATGATATTTTATTGTCTCGTTAATGATCCTATTCGGTATGTAAGGAAGAAGAAATTAGAGTGAAATCTTAACCTTATCTTTATATTAAATTCATTGGAGCATTCCATTCATCAATAACGCCTGCCTTCTAGAGCTCAAACTAGAAAAGAATAAGAAAAGCTAAAGGTATGGGCGACAAGGTATTATATACTAAATATCATTTAGAGAAAAATTAGGACATTAGTAAGCATGTGGAGTCTCAGAAAATTTTGTTTTACTAAGTTACATTTTGAATTGTTTTCATTTTTTCCAGCAAGCAGCTTTTTTTCTTCACATTAATTCTCAGCATCGGTTTTACTGTTCTTCCTCCTTAGTGTTCATTGATGTTAGAGTAGGTCATCATAACACTTGCTTCTTGGTAGTGATTACAGAATGGGCGTTTTTGGACTCTTATTTTGAAAATTCAAGAACCAAGAGTCATCAACTGTGTACTGTTTAGTCATGGAAGTGAAATCCGTTGCTCTGGAGATAGCTGCTTGTTCAAACCCTTTGCCATCAATTCTAGTAAAACTACATATAAAGTCGGTGCCATGAACCTTGGGGTGCTTAGTGTGCTGCTGCATCGCAACAACAGAAGGGTTGCCCTAATCATTATTCTACGTTTTCATGGAACTAGGTAAAAATTCTAATTTGCTTCTTGAAACGTGGACTTACTCTAACATCTGACTCTTCAAAGTCAGAGGCCAATCCTATTACTTCTGCTGTATTTCTTCATATATTTTTCTAGATTAATATCTTATGCTGGTTTTACTATTGTTCTAAACATTAGGTTGAGCTTTGCTGTAGAAAACAATTGCTGTGTACAAAAAAAATTTTTTTTTTTTTTAAAACCTAGTTTCTTATTTGATTAGTGTGTTTGTATATAAGGCTCTAGATTGTTATCCTCTCACTCCGTCTTGCTGTTAGGCATGTCAGTTGATGAAGGAGTTTGGAAAGTTACGCTTCCAAGGATTCTGCCCCAAATTATGGTGAAATTCAATGTAACCCATTGTTTTTTTCTGTTCTGGATTTCCATCACTGCAGTAACAGTAATTCCTAAATAACTTGTTTATTTGGTGAGTATTTTTTTCCTAATTATGGTGTTTTCAATTCCAAAAGGCTCAAAGTATTTTAAGGCCTACATACAGTTAGTATGGAATCGTTGTTACAAGCCAAAATTCAGAGAAGTAAATTGGAGCGTGCAATGGAATTATCTGTGTGGCTCTATGGAAAGAGGAGGAAATTTTGGCAAAGAACCTAAGTCAAACTCAAAATTAGAAGAAGTAATATATGGTATAGGAAAGAGCTGTCAGGAGCCAATTTAATAACAGTTATTCTGTCTGCTTTCACCTCTCCTTGGGTGTGTGTACAGATAATTGATCAAACCCATTCAGTTTTCTCCGGAAGCATAAGGAGTTGAGATTTGAACCAATTGTTCTTTGGACTTCAGGGAATTACAGTCCTTTAGCTGAGCACCTGGATTCAACATTTTTTTTAGATTGCTTAAACTATCAACAGCATTTATGAAAATGGTCAGATTGGTCAGAAATTAATATAAAAATATTAATATAAAAATATGAAACTCTGTCCTCTGCTTCTCATTTAAATTTCGAATGGCATAGAAAGAGATGACTGCACTTACTACTTGGCTCTAATTGAAAACCAGGTTTTCAGAAAAACAAATTTGAGATTCTTCTTTTTAACTCTTGCCTCGTGAAAGCTGTTTGTTCAGCTTAGGCTGTGACTATTTGAATAAAGAAACTAAGTTTCTGTATTGTATTGTTATACAATACCTTTAGAGAAAAAAGTGCTTTGTAATTTTTCCATTCTGACTTTCAGGCGTCGATTTGTGAATTGTCTTTGTAAGTTATAAAATCCTAGGATATGCAAGAGAAGATAGCCTGTCTTGATTCATGAATACTAGCAGGAGTTCTGTAAATAATTCTATTCTTAAATAAAAATCATCCTCACGGAACTGCATATATGTACATCTGTGAAGTTTTTATATCTGTGGAGTGCCCCCTTTAAAAACATACCTGTGAACTCTTCTAATTGATATTCAGTTTAAAAGAATTTTCAGTTAACCTTCTGAAAATGTCTTACTATTACTTAGCTGTAACTCAGGAGAAAGTTAAGATAAGGATTGAAGTTGTCCGTAGTAATTAGTAGTTGTCATGGAGGAAAGATTTCATAGTTTGGAGACATTCTGTGTTATTCTTATGGGATAAGCCAATCGTGATTTCTTTTTTTTTAATGTTTGTTGTTTTCATTGTATTTAATCTTACTCTAAATTGTGGTGTTTCATTGCTAGCCGTCCCCCAGCAAGATCTCTTCGTGGTGTTTTTGTTCCCACATCAAAAGTATTCATAACTGCACGTGCAGAATTCTAGCCTGACTGCTTCCATCTGTGTGGGGTTTAAAGCTCTGTAAATAGATACCTGAAAGATTTAAACTTGCTGTGCTCCGTGTATACACTAACATTCCTTATGAATGCTTAGGGTGGAAAATAAACCAAGTTTTCCACGCTGTTCTTGAACAGAACTTGATTATCTGAAATTACTGTTCAGAAATGCTAATATCTATGCTTTGATGTTAATTCTCAATGAATGAACGTGTCCTCGATGGGAAGTACCCATCAAAATCTGGAAGAGAAACAGACAGTTATAGTATGACAGGAGTGCAGTAGCTGGTATAAAACAATGTCAGCTTACTTTAATGAAGTCCTGTAGTACCCTGCAGGTTTAGGGTGGACTGCAGACCATCGGGAGCAGCAAACAGCAGAGTTCTGTATAGTCATACTCCTCGGGTTCTCCTTGGCTGCTTCTTGTCTAACCAGAGATTTGTAGAGTAAACAGTTCAGTATTTGTATGAAATTGCATTAATATGTGTCTGTGCAGTTACAGATCATATGAAATCCCTCTAATATTCTGGGTTTGATGCATATTGGAAGCTATTTATTATGCCAATAGGTGTTCAGAATATTAAAATTCGTGTTTAACCTGTACAGCTACGGAACGGTATTGGAGAAGAAAATGTTGCTCAAATGGGTGTATAGTACGTTCAGTGAACAGATCAAAATGGGGTGTCTACATTGTTCTACCATGAATGAGACAAATCAGGATACAGTTTGGTTTTTTTTTTTTCCTTGTTTTATATGAATTATAAGTAACGTGCAGTATTATAGGTGATGGCACCGTTGGTATGATTGTCTGGTGTTATCCAAGTTCTAATTTTCATTTGCCAAACTTCAACTATTTCGTTTGAAATTTTGCATTCTAGATGTCTGCCTTTGGGTTACTTTCCTTTGCAAATTTAAGCCGAAATGGTTCAAATATTCCCAAGGCTGAAGCTATTGGAAAGACACTTCTCAATGTTAGTTTTCTAGAGACCTTCGAAAGTCTGTAACAATTTAACATTTGAGCAGAGCAACTGTGATATATTGTATTATACTATATTATATTATATTAGACTATATTAAATTATGAACATTAAAGGGGGCTAATAAAGACTGTATAGATAATCGTAATTCTCGGAGTTCCTATGTTTTGAATGCTTATTTTATGATCTTGTTGCCATGTGGGTGTACAGCAGCTTACACTATGTGATTTATTTTGCTTTAGATTATTGGTTGCCAAGTCAGAAGAGAGCCACTGGAGTCTACTGAGCGGTATACTCGTTGGATCAATAATCTGACTGAAGAACAACTTCTTACACAGGTATTCTTGGTTCAGCTGTGACTGAAGTTACAGCAGAAAAATAGAGCAAGATCGATTTTTTCAGTCATTAGCAATACTTGATAACTTAGGTAAGGTTATCAGATTCTTATATTAAAAGGCTAGTCTTTTCAATAAGAGACAAGTTTATGGTGCCTGCGATCATTATGTAATGATGACTTCACACTGAGCGAGAATGAAAGCTTTCAACTTCAGGTTTGGAGTTCTCACTGCTGTCTGTAGTTAAATGTATATGCTTTTGTGTTCTAATAATTAGTTTAGGGTTTTCTTTTTAAAAGGTGTATTTAAATACAAAAGGAAGAAAAAATCTTTCTTGAGAATGATTTCCCTCCCCCCCCGCAAGGTTAGGTACTGCCCACTTCTGTATCTGTTTAAGTTTTGCTAGAGATCATTTTAAAATAGCAGCTCTTCAGGCATTAAACATTACGCTCATTATACATGTTTGTAAGTAAGATGCGTCTTGTGCAACCAAAGATGACAGTTTTGGCATAAGGAAAGGTTGTGTCGTTAGGCAGGCAGCCAATGCTGAACTAAAAGAGACTTTGGCAAAAACAAGTTAAACTGTGGAAGAAATCAGTCCAGCTTGTGGAGGGAATGTGTGTACTGAGTATTATAGGAAATCTAATGGATGGTTAGCAGAAAACATCCCAGCAGGCATTAAGATGCAAGTATTTGGGGTTGGGTTTTGTGATGCTATGGTAGGAAGACATTTGCTTTTGATTTTCCTGGATTTAAGTGGCTGAAAAGATTAACATACCCTTGTTTGTTAGACTTCATTGTAAACTGTGTTGTGTTCCCTATTACCCTAACCCCCAAAGACATACTTACAGGCTCTGGTGTGGTCATTGTAACACAAGAAGTCATCTATAGACCTTGTTTTAAAATCAGCAGTGGTATTACGGTTCCCTGTAATTCACCAAGTGAAAGAAGTTACAGAAAAAGTTACCCGTGGAATATTTGGATTTGCCTTTGAGTGTGGCATTAGAAAAAAAAAATATAGATTTAAAACAGTGAATTTATCTGACAGCAACATCTGGATCACTGTGGTGTTGAAGAGAAGAGAAAAGAAGAAAAAATTGAGGATGTAAAAGCTTGTCCTACACAATCTGAAGTGTTTCATCTAAGTGGCTACTGGTTGGGGCCTTTAATGAATGAAGCTGGAAATTAAAAGAAATATCCTAAGTCTGGGATTATTTAAGGGGGGGTATGCAAAAAGAAAACTCATTTTAAGATGGGGATGTATGTCTTCTGGAAGAGATTATTTAATATAGTGTTTCTGATAGTAGGATGCAAATACAGTGACCTGGGAAGTCCCTTGCAATCTTTTGTGCCTACAGATATCTCTTAAAGCCTTAATCAAGCAGCATGTGCGATCCATTATTTTTACATATGATTTAGATTCACACATTTTACAAATAGATGAGGAATTTCAGAAAATATATTGGGTTTGGAACTAGAAGGCTGCATAGCAGAACTTGTGCTACTTGTCCCTGAGATTATTAACCAGATGAGATTTATAGACTCACACTATTTATGCATTCCTAATTAATTTTTTTAACTTGTTAACTGTTCTCTACCAAATTTAACACAGAAATAGAAGTTCCTCAAAGACACTAGGTTTCTGAAAATTCTGTGGGAGTATGAAGCTAGGATAGATCGTACTGCCCCAGCTGCAATTCATATGTGGTTGAGCACCCCAGAATCCACTTGGACAGAGATTTTAGGTGCCAATCATAAGACGAGCTTCAGCTGTGACACAAGTCTGCAGGAAGCTTGGCTTTTCTAACTCTTCCAGAGCAGTGCGTGTCAGTGTATGGCACCTCTCCTGCCTCAGTATCCATTCTTCTAATCAGAAATTCAGGTAGGGAGGTAATTGTTTTGCTTTTCCTTGACTTAAAAAAGTGTGGGGAGGAGGAGGAGGAATTGGGAGTAAAAACCATCTCAGCTGTTCTCCAATAATCAGGATATGAATCAATTATGTAAGGTTAGGCCTGATTTGTCCCACTCCCCTGCCCCCGATATACTGTACATTTTATTTTGGATGTGATTTTTTTAAACTCTCTTCAGTAAATAAGCCCCAAGAATACTACAGTGATGGGCCTTTGCTAATGGATTTGTAGAATCTCTGGGAGGAGCAGTCCTTCAGGGAATTCAGGAAAATTGGCTTTAATTTACAGCATATTGTCTCCAGCAGTTTCCTGTAGTGAAAGAATGTTCAGCTTTTTTTAGCTGTCTCTGTACTCAGTGCCCAGCTTTTTTTCCAGTTACTTCTGTTGCATTTCTGTATCGTGCACATGCAAATTATTTGTGCTGTAAATTGGGAAACCAAGCAACCAATTAAAAAAAAAAAAATAGCCAATTGTCAAGATCGCGTAATCCCCTATCATAATATTCATGTTATTAACCAAATAATATCCTGTAGCATTTGGTTGCTTTACTGGACAGTGACTGAAGTCCAGTTTGAAAGAGGTGGGTGGTAGCAGATGTTTTGTTAGGTGGTTGGATGGCTTCTTGTGCCTCGGTGCTGGCTGCTGGGTTTATATCACTTGAGTCAATACCAGATTTTTGGATCAAATGTCCATCCCCTGTCCTCATGCTGAGAAGATCATTCAATACAAAATGCTTCTAGCATTTTAACTTTTCTTTTCCCTTAGCCATGGCCTCTTGATGCTTACTCATCCATTAAATGTTTCTCTAAACAATTATACTGTAACATTCCAAAGATACTTTATGGTATGCGTGAAATTTCAGAATATATACCCCAGAGAATGTGGGAGGAGTAAGAGAGTACAAAGAGAGCATAATAATGAGAAAACTACTTTTAAAAAGATTAATATTTGCTTGTTTAAGGTTATCTTCTGTATAAATGATGAGTGATTAAAACATGCTTTTATAGGTATAGTGATATAAGCCTTAAAATACATATATACGTGTTCTGGTAGAATTGCTATCTTTCTGGCCAATAGTAAAGAAAAAAAAAAAAGGATAATTTTAATTATTCAGTAAGTGCAGAGCACAGTGACAAGTACAGGATGAAAATGAGCAAACAAATTAAGAGAACTGACTGTTATGATGTTGGAGTAAGTGAAAAAATGTAGATTAAAACTAATCCTACAGGATATCCGAGTCTGGATTGTGCTTGAAATGTGACTGAAGTTTGATCATGTAGCCCTTCTTGTACACTGGAAATCTTACTGTGCTGTATAAGTACAAATGTCTGAATGGTTTTAAGGTTGGATTAATTACATAAATATTTATAGAAGTAGTTTTTAAGGATTGTTGCTGACTGTAAGTAACACAGCTGAGTTCATATCCATGTCTGTTAAATCACTGCTTTAGGTTAATTTAGTCTCACAGCCTGTGAAGTATTATTCAGCCTGAAGCGTAATTCCATCCAACCTACCATTTTTTCCTGCCCAAAGACAAGAGACTTCTCTGCTTTCACACGGTTGTTCACTTAGAAAGCAGGCGGCAAGCTTAGAGTGGTATGGGAGGAGACTCCTGCAAAAAGGAGTGGGCTCTGTGGTTGATAAGCCTGGCCTGTCCTAATTTAGAAAAATAGTGGTCTGAACAAAATATGATGATTCTGTAAGTCTGTTGTCCACCCTAACGTGTCTGTATTGCTTCCTGATACATACCGTACTTTGCAGATTATCTCGGAGCAATTTGTGTTGGAATGATCTGGAAGTGTTCACAGGTGATTTGTAGTTCTTACCAATCATCTGCCTGGACCGCCTGAGAGAAGAACAATAATTAACATGTTCCAGTTTCATAGCATACACTTTTCTGTGCTGTTACAGGTGCCTGGTAAATTTAGCTAATAGGCTTAAAAGCAGGGTGTCTCTGCTTACTAAGTCTTCATGTATTAGAGTTTAATTAATATTTGATAAAAGTTCATGCTGCAGATACTCATTTTGGAAATAGATCCAGCATTTTGGTCGAGTCGAGCACGCAGCTTGTTCTGAAGGCAAGCAGGACCTGGTAACGTGGCTGGACTTTGTCCATAAATCCAATACGCTCAATATTGCATTGTCATCATGTATCTCAATGGGCAGCTTCTTACTGGTAAAAAGCTGGTAGGAGTAGATTGCAGGTAGGATGAATTTTCCAGGCAGGCCACAGATTGACCGTCTCTGGCTTAGAGCATCTGTTTTGTCTGCTTGCAGACCAGAAAATTCCGGTTTTGTAAGTGCTAGGGTTGGTTGTCGGTGTGTCAGAACCGCAGTGATAATTGAGGTGGCAGTCTGGAAGTGGATATATGCAATGCCTGTTGCCTGGTTATATTTGTAAAGGCAAAAACTGGACAGAGGGTAAGACTTTCTTCCTTAGGAATGAATAAAACAGGAGAAGGCTGATGGGTATCCCCCCCGTGTATTTGCCACTATAATGGTTCACTTGCATTTGTTGTCTTGCAATAAAAAGATACTCAACACTTACCTGGGCTTTCCTGTCACTGTTTCCTCTTCCTTCACCCATGTTATCTAAAAATGTGCCATCACTAGTGACGTCCTGGTGTTTTTTCTACTGAGCAAAAGAACCGAAGTCACGAATTGGTCAATTACAGTAGATTCTACTGGTTTGTATGGGATTGAGCATATACCACATCAGAAAAAAACCAATTGGCTGCTTCCTTTTGTGGTCGATCCTTTTTCTCCTCTGGAGGAGAATGAAACAAAGGTTCACAAACTAGTCAATGTTTGTATTTACGTTTGAAAATACATGTCAAAGGGGTTCAGGGGGTTCTAGAGAGTTTAATGAGAAGTGGCTCACCCACATCTGTGAACTCCAGGCGCAATTAGAACTTCCTCGTCAGGCTTCGGGTGGAGGCATCTCGGGGTCAAATGGTTTTGAACTTAGAAACAGGCTTGTAGTAGTTCAGAAATGTATACAGATTTTACTTTGTGTGTTAGCGCTTTTGCATGAGTTTAAAGGTATACCATAGAGGAAAGAGGGTTAAATAACGGATTTTTTA